TGTTATTGACAATGCGGAGTTTCGTCCTTTTACATGTCGTTATGCAGTTACTTCTGCAAATGTTGATATATTTTTGTGCTTTTTGCTCTCAATTGAGCCATGTGTTCACTTGTGGATATATATATGTAAGGTGTATTTGTTCTTCTGCACAAGTATGACCAACCGGGCAAGCAGAAAATTCTACTTGACCGCGGTGGGAATCGAACCCGCGACCTTCGCATTTCTAGAACGATGCTCTACCGTCTGAGCTACAAGGCCAAGTTGGGAACGACTGTGATTTTGCTTAAGTTGTTATTGACAATGCGGAGTTTCGTCCTTTTACATGTCGTTATGCAGTTACTTCTGCAAATGTTGATATATTTGTACTTTTTTTGCTCTCAATTGAGCCATGTGTTCACTTGTGGATATATATATGTAAGGTGTATTTGTTCTTCTGCACAAGTATACCAACCGGGCAAGCAGAAAATTCTACTTGACCGCGGTGGGAATCGAACCCGCGACCTTCGCATTTCTAGAACGATGCTCTACCGTCTGAGCTACAAGGCCAAGTTGGGAACGACTGTGATTTGCTTAGTTGTTATTGACAATGCGGAGTTTCGTCCTTTTACATGTCGTTATGCAGTTACTTCTGCAAATGTTGATATATTTTTTGCTTTTTGCTCTCAATTGAGCCATGTGTTCACTTGTGGATATATATATGTAAGGTGTATTTGTTCTTCTGCACAAGTATGACCAACCGGGCAAGCAGAAAATTCTACTTGACCGCGGTGGGAATCGAACCCGCGACCTTCGCATTTCTAGAACGATGCTCTACCGTCTGAGCTACAAGGCCAAGTTGGGAACGACTGTGATTTTGCTTAAGTTGTTATTGACAATGCGGAGTTTCGTCCTTTTACATGTCGTTATGCAGTTACTTCTGCAAATGTTGATATATTTGTACTTTTCTCTGAGCCATGTGTTCACTTGTGGATATATATGTAAGGTGTATTTGTTCTTCTGCACAAGTATGACCAACCGGGCAAGCAGAAAATTCTACTTGACCGCGGTGGGAATCGAACCCGCGACCTTCGCATTTCTAGAACGATGCTCTACCGTCTGAGCTACAAGGCCAAGTTGGGAACGACTGTGATTTGCTTAGTTGTTATTGACAATGCGGAGTTTCGTCCTTTTACATGTCGTTATGCAGTTACTTCTGCAAATGTTGATATATTTTGCTTTTTTTTGCTCTCAATTGAGCCATGTGTTCACTTGTGGATATATATATGTAAGGTGTATTTGTTCTTCTGCACAAGTATGACCAACCGGGCAAGCAGAAAATTCTACTTGACCGCGGTGGGAATCGAACCCGCGACCTTCGCATTTCTAGAACGATGCTCTACCGTCTGAGCTACAAGGCCAAGTTGGGAACGACTGTGATTTTGCTTAAGTTGTTATTGACAATGCGGAGTTTCGTCCTTTTACATGTCGTTATGCAGTTACTTCTGCAAATGTTGATATATTTTGTTTTTTTGCTCTCAATTGAGCCATGTGTTCACTTGTGGATATATATATGTAAGGTGTATTTGTTCTTCTGCACAAGTATGACCAACCGGGCAAGCAGAAAATTCTACTTGACCGCGGTGGGAATCGAACCCGCGACCTTCGCATTTCTAGAACGATGCTCTACCGTCTGAGCTACAAGGCCAAGTTGGGAACGACTGTGATTTTGCTTAAGTTGTTATTGACAATGCGGAGTTTCGTCCTTTTACATGTCGTTATGCAGTTACTTCTGCAAATGTTGATATATTTTTGTCTTTTGCTCTCAATTGAGCCATGTTTCACTTGTGGATATATATATGTAAGGTGTATTTGTTCTTCTGCACAAGTATGACCAACCGGGCAAGCAGAAAATTCTACTTGACCGCGGTGGGAATCGAACCCGCGACCTTCGCATTTCTAGAACGATGCTCTACCGTCTGAGCTACAAGGCCAAGTTGGGAACGACTGTGATTTTGCTTAGTTGTTATTGACAATGCGGAGTTTCGTCCTTTTACATGTCGTTATGCAGTTACTTCTGCAAATGTTGATATATTTGTACTTTTTTTCTCAATTGAGCCATGTGTTCACTTGTGGATATATATGTAAGGTGTATTGTTCTTCTGCACAAGTATGACCAACCGGGCAAGCAGAAAATTCTACTTGACCGCGGTGGGAATCGAACCCGCGACCTTCGCATTTCTAGAACGATGCTCTACCGTCTGAGCTACAAGGCCAAGTTGGGAACGACTGTGATTTTGCTTAAGTTGTTATTGACAATGCGGAGTTTCGTCCTTTTACATGTCGTTATGCAGTTACTTCTGCAAATGTTGATATATATTTTGTACTTTTTTTGCTCTCAATTGAGCCATGTGTTCACTTGTGGATATATATGTAAGGTGTATTTGTTCTTCTACAAGTATGACCAACCGGGCAAGCAGAAAATTCTACTTGACCGCGGTGGGAATCGAACCCGCGACCTTCGCATTTCTAGAACGATGCTCTACCGTCTGAGCTACAAGGCCAAGTTGGGAACGACTGTGATTTTGCTTGAGTTGTTATTGACAATGCGGAGTTTCGTCCTTTTACATGTCGTTATGCAGTTACTTCTGCAAATGTTGATATATATATTTGTGCTTTTTTTTTGCTCTTAATTGACCAATTGACCAATGACCAACCGAGCAAGCAGAATATATATATATATATATATATATATATATATATATATATATATATATATATTATTATTATTAAGAACACATTTACGACACAAAATTTGCATAGCTGGGCTGGCTACGCCGCTTTGAACGACGCGACCATAACGCCTAGTAGGCGCCTTTTTAATCTTAGTCATTTTTTTAAAGATAATTACAGGATATATACAAAATACTCAATAATTACTCTCTATGAATTCCGGTAACAGTCTTGATATAGTACCTGTATGAGTTCTATCCTCACTATTCTACTATGTACTTGCAAAATCCATTGTATCTTTGGTTTACAGTAAAGCTAAATATCTCAAAAATGCAGGATTTCAGAATACTGAACAAATCGAAAGAATGTCTGCAAAGCCTGCTAGTACATGTACTTTAGATGGTGCTATCCGGCCTTCATAGAATGAGTCACTAGTGATAAAAATGTCAAGGAGACATTTTGAGACTGGCAACTACATTGCCATGATTCATTTAATGTTTCCAAAATTTTATGTTGTAACAGATACCATCAATACTTGATAAAGTCAACGAAAGAAGTAAATGATCAGCTGTGTGAAACTATTTGCCCACTTTGCCTTCAGGTGATAGTCTTTTAACCAATTAATTTCCTCATGAACAATTTTACAGCTAGGGCAATACAGGTACTGTAGTCTTTAGAAGCATTCTGAAAAATGTTGATCTGTTTTTTTCTAGATTTCAGCAATACATTTGATAATTTCCTCGATATTTTGAAAAGTTCCATAAAAGTTCATAATTTCTCTTTTACTGTACCAACCATTCAGAATTGTTGAAAAGTAAAATACCTGTATGAACTTTGAATGGTCAACTCAAATAAGGATGTTTTGAATTCTTCGAGGAACCTGCTAAATTTTCAAAGAATTGATCAAATGAATTGCTTGGAAGTCAGGAAATGGACAGTGTATAAATGATGGGAAACTTGTGTTTTCTAATTTACAGTATGTACCTTGTTACCTATTTGCAAACAATGCATTTTATTGAGAAAGGCAACATCTTATCAACTTTTTTACCTTCAAGGAAAATTTCTGGACTACATTTATAACCATTTAACTGGAAGTAAACTAAAATTGTGTCGACAGTATAGTATAAGATAAGTAAAATTATAGTGGGAACACATTGACTACATTTTAAGTTACAATAAGATGACAATCAGAGTAACTGCAGTAATTGAAATGTAAATACTGTATGTGCACAGTACTCAGTACTGTAAACCTTATGGGCTTGGTTTTGTTTTACACCATTTACATCTTTTATATATGATTTCATAACTGCAATCAGGCACCAACCACACAGTCATGCTTATCTTTTACATGTGGAATGGAAATGATAATGAAACACAAAATCTAGTAATTGAATCGATGGATGGTGTTTCGGGCTAGTAAGGAAGAAGTCAGCTGGGACAGTTCTTTACCACCAAGACATGGTACTATTATGTTTGCAGACCAAAAACATGTGGATGAATTTGTTTTGGACTATTCAAAAGATGCACAAGAAGCCTCAGCGGTAAGTTTTTGATGAATTGTTTGTATTAATATGCATTAAGCTACACGGTTAAACACTAAATGGGTTTACATGTACAGTATGATAATTGAATTACTGAAAGGAACATACATTTTATATGCCTTTTTTAAAGGTCTGTGATGAGTTTAAATCTGGGAAGTAAATAATATGTTGCGATCAAAAGGAAGAAATGCGCTGTTTGACGAAAAGGGAGTATTTGGCAGAGTGTGTAGACATGAATACCCTAAAGGTTTCATCGACATGAAACATGGCGAACGGTACAGTAGTTTTCTCCATAAATAAATTTTTTTTCATATGTCTATCTTCTATGCATAACAATACCAAATAATTTATTAATGCTATGAATGTCCATTAGTAACAGTCGTATAAACCTGACAGGAAGCTTTTTGCCCGTAACAGTGAAACACGGGAATTGCCAAATCAATATCTTGCCTGTTATTTTTCTAAAATTGAATATTTATTTACTTATTAAAAATCATGCAACTACCTTTAGAGTAAGCAAACTAAAAAATTTCAGTTTTTCGCATGCATTTATCAGATATCGTACTGTATCATGAGCAGACAAGGTACAACCAATGTCATACGTAATTTTCACATTATATCATTAGCTATCAATCATTTTGGGGAACAATTATATTCTTAATTCTCACAAAGTTTACTGGACACAGAACTGCAAAACTGTCTAATATGTATATGAATTGATATTTCGCTTCAGGGCCTTCGTTTATCTCCAAATTACGGAAGGCAAACAACCTTATGGAAAATGCAATGGAGCAACTTCAAGACGTTTTTTCTAAGTTAACAGGTCGGTAATACTTTAAACCTTTCTAGGCACAGTATATACTGTTAGGCTTGATTCTGTATTAAGCTTTTTGTCTAAATTGGGGTATTTGAAGGTACACTGTATAATTATTTGATTTCAGTTGACAATTTTGAAAAAATAACTTGCCTTATTGATTTGAGCTGAGTTGTGTGTATCTACGCGAAATTGTAAAATGTGAAACAAATTTAAGAAGACTAGTCGTCGACAATGTAGATATCAAATAAGTTAATACTGTTCTTTTGCAGTTGAATATGATGATAGTTTGGTGAAATTATGGACAGAGGAAGAACAGAACGTGTTGATTACGCGAGAAAGTAAGTTATGGAACATAACAACCATTATTTGCGTAGATGTAAGCATATAAGTTGTTGGTTCATTTATTACACCAGCTCAATTGGTACTACTTTGACTGTTATATATACACTACTGAGCATCAACAGTACATTACAGTACATACATCCTTTCTCAATATGTAATTTACCATGTATAATGCCCAAAGAAACCAAAATGTTGACGTTGTCTTGAGAAGCCAAGTATGTTAAATATCCATTCCAGCTCGAGGAGTTAAGGTTTGGACATCAGTGTATAATTACTATATATATATATGCAGTTAACAGTTCGTTCAGTTTTCACATGACTATTTATTTTAAGACATAACATTGCAGCCGCAGAGTCCGACAAGCATGACACCATAACAGATCTTGTGAAGAAACGAAAAGCGTAAGTATAATTTAAGACTGTTTTCCATTACGTTTGCTATTGTGGTTGTGACGAATTCTAAAATTAGAGGGCGTTCGCCCTCGCAGAAGGAACGAACGTAATGGAAAATTGCCTTTGATAGAGCAAAATTTTCTAGTATTTTAAAAATGTATTTTGAATAGTGGAATATTTAATACTAACTCGTCTTAGGTCTGGCGCCTTCGACTGCTCGGCCAACCTGACTGTTCAAGGAGTTTTCGTACCAATATTGCTTTGTAATTGACATTTTGCAAACGATCGTTTTGCATAAGTGAAGTTTATTGGATTACTTTTCAATTATAAAATAAACGTGTCTCAAATGCCAAAAACCATGGAGTTTGGCAGCGGTGGGATTAATCAAACTCTCGCTATACAAATAGTCTATATCACGTTACAAGCGAGGATACCCTCAAGAGTGCGTGCGCAATACAAACTCGTCCAAAATAAGCGTTTTTTCTGTTCGTGTGCCTTAGAAACTGAAGCTATCTTTCACTTACATACGGATTATTAAATTTAGACCTATGCCGCACATTATTTTATTGTTTTTGGTAAAGGTTCGTTGTATCCCGGAGTCGGACTTTGGGGTTTGAATGTTGCGGGCTATAAAAGAATATTGGTCAAAAATCGCCGTTTAGAGTGGAGGTTGCGGGAAAACTCCTCGTACTGCTTCCACAATACAATATTTCCTTTCCTTACATTCGGAATTGAAATCTACATGTTTTGGCGCGTATTTTGATATGAATTTCGAACATATTCAACGTGAATTTATAGCTTCGGACCGATGGCCATGAACTGTAGGTATTTTGCGACATTGGTCGGCATTTGCACACATTAATTAATGCAGTCTCTGCTGTTGGTGATGTGAACACGATCGGAATGGTGGCCCGCCGTTTACTTACGAGATAAGCAGGCAAAAGAATTTTATATTAATTTTTTCAGTCACCTTTTATGCTTTGATATAGTACTGTTTAAAACCACAGTTGTGTATATTTTGACAAATTTTAAGCCTGACAAATACTGTCTAAATATACAGGGTGTATCAAAAAAAATGTCCCAAATGTAAAATTTCCGTTTTGCAGGATATTTTGCAGAATTTGGCAAATTTTTGTGTTCCTAGAGATAGATAAGACTTATCTGGTATACCTAGGCCAAGTTTGGTTTTTCATTAACAAAATTATGTTACCGGGGGGGTGGTTCCTTTCCACTGATATTGAGAGGGCTTGCGCGCGAAAATGTGAAGCTGAAATTGAGATATTATTTAGCTTTCTAAAAGTAGGAAAGCTTTTTAATAAACTGTCAAAGTTTCAGGAAAAATAATGCAAACTGGGAGCAACGCCCGACCCCTAAAAGTGACAAATATTTCATTGCGGCAGTGGATTAAATGCATGGTTGATTTTAGCGTGACCGATCTCATGCAAGGCTGGGCAAATGAATAAATTAAAGCAAGAAACTGAACAAAAACACGAAGCGATTTAATAATAAGATTGTTATTCTTGATGTTAATCCTCAACATTTCCACCATTTCTTTCTAAGCAAACTGCGGCTCGTCTGAGCATGGTAAACACTGAACGGCGAACCACATTTGTCTGTCCTGCCTCAAATTATCCATTTCGTTCGAAATTCTTTCTTGCAAATCGCCTACGCTACCACCGGCAAATCTAGGCTAATGGAGGCAGACAAATGGTTCGCTGTTCAGTGTTTAGTATGCTCAGACAAGCAGCAGTTTGCTTAGAATGAAATGGTGAACATGCTGAGGATTAACATAACGAATAAATCGCTTTGTTTTTGTGTTCAGTTTCTCGCTTTAATTTATTCATTTGCCCAGCCTTACGTGAGATCGGTCACGCTAAAATCAACCATGCATTTAATCCACTGCGCGCAATGAAATATTTGTCACCTTTAGGGGTCGCGCGTTGCTCCCAGTATGCATTATTTTTCCTGAAACTTTGACAGTTTATTAAAAAGCTTTCCTACTTTTTGACAGCTAAATAATATCTCAATTTTAGCTTCACATTTTCGCGCGCAAGCCCTCTCAATATCAGTGGAAAGGAAAAACCCCCCCGGTAACATAATTTTGTTAATGAAAAACCAAACTTGGCCTAGGTATACCAGATAAGTCTTATCAATCTCTAGGAACACAAAAATTTGCCAAATTCTGCAAAATATCCCGAAAAACGGAAATTTTACATTTGGGACATTTTTTTTGATACACCCTGTATACTGTAAATAGGTCGGCAATAGCCTACACTGCTACAGTACACATTAATGATTTTCTTATTGATATATTGTGTATATATTATACAGGGTGTATCAAAAAAAGTAGACAATTTTGAAATGTTTAGAAAACTATAAATTTATCAAAATATCTCATAGATTTGTGCTAGTATGGGTACTTTGGCATCTTCAGGTCATTCTAACACTAAAAACAAACAGAAAAATTAACCTCGAAAAATGGAAGAGCGGTTTGTGGAAGCATCATTTTGAATGGCTTGTGCAAACATGAATGAAAGGTTTAAAATCCAATTTGAATTCAAGGGCTGAACGTTTGGGTATTTGTTTACAAAGAATCGAAATTTCAGAAATTTTGATGAAAATTAAGTCAGCCGCGCAACTGCGTAAACGTGGGCTTTTTTCCGTTTAACTCGCAGCTTGAGTAACTTCTTTCATGCACGATTGATTTCATGCATGAGTGATTGCTCGGGTGATTAAACTAACAATGGTGTTGTGAAAAAAGTTACTCAAGCTGCGAGTTAAACAGAAAAAAGCCCACTTTTACGCAGTTGCGCGGCTGACTTAATTTTCATCAAAATTTCTGAAATTTCGATTCTTTGTAAACAAATACCGAAACGTTCAGCCCTTGAATTCAAATTGGATTTTAAACCTCTCATTCATGTTTGCACAAGCCATTCAAAATGATGCTTGCACAAACCGCTCTTCCATTTTTCGAGGTTAATTTTTCTGTTTGTTTTTAGTGTTAGAATGACCTGAAGATACCAAAGTACCCATACTAGCACAAATCTATGAGATATTTTGATAAATTTATAGTTTTCTAAACATTTCAAAATTGTCTACTTTTTTTTATACACCCTGTATAACATGCTGGAATAAGGGACATTAATATCGTTCACATCGGCTACGTGCGCGTGTAATGGCAAATTTTAATCAAAAGGTTTTATTGTTATTGTTATTATCGGCTCTATCGTGATGTATCATCTATATTGATGGGGCGGCCAAAACACAAGGCTTTTCATGCTGAAGAAACGGAAAATATATTATCTAATTCTTTGCCATAGCCCATAGGGTCGCCATTCTTCAAAACGCGAATCGTACCCTTTAAAATGCGTACGAATACGTTTATTTTTTTGATCAACCTCTTTAATCTCAACCTCGTAGAGGTTATTGTCTTTCGCCTCCGTTTAAATGATTTTTTTCCACATCGAACTGCAAATTTGTGGACAAAACATTGAGGTTAGCATAATGTGCGCTTTAGTCTAGACACCATATTGTTTTACAAGGCGCGCATTTTTGTAACAGAAAAATCTGGACACTAGTTTGAGCAAATGTTCATCTCAAAAGTGAAAGAGTTTGATATTCGAACCCACGCTTTGTTCCACGTTATCGACGGGGAAACGATAGCTGCAATTTCACCAAAGTTTTTTTAAAAACATATAGCAGTACTTGTTTTATTATTATTGAATAAATGTCAGGTGTGAGATTCGAACCCATGCCCCCCATTGTGGACCAGAATTCCTAACTTTATTCTTGAGTGTAGCGCCTTAGACCACCTGCCCAAGTTGCTTAAACACTGCCGATTTAAATGATCAATATTTATAACGTTTATTATACTATAGTAATATTTATTATAAATCGAATTATTGTATAAATCGAATTATTGTAATATCAGATAGCGTCTGCGCATCAGCGCCGAAATCCGTGTTCTTTAATTTATTCGTCGAAATAATTTGTTTGCAATTTGTTGCAGCTTACTTCGCCAATGCGGAAATTTTGTGTGAAATTATGCGCCATCGGAATTTATGTAGATCATTGTATCATTGTAATTTCGGCAAGTTCGCAGTTTTGTGTCCTCTGCCAACAAACGTTTAGCCGAGCGAAAGCTAGATATTTAGTTCAAGGAAGGAGTAAGGGAAATATACAGTCTGAGCGTGAGAGCTTGCCGTTCACTGTCGGTTTAGAACGGAGCCAGTACATATTGCCGAAGCTGTGTGAACGCTCTAAAGAAGCGGCGTGGATTAATATCACAAATATCTGACATTGAAGAACGCCTAAAAGAGAACCACGACTGTAGACAAACGGGACAGAACAAGTACTAAAACGCCCATGCCCTACCAACACTGTTTCTTCAATAATTGAAGAGAAGATTAGCCGTAGCGAAGACCCAGTTTTGCGGTCTAACGTCATGCATCACAATCATTATTTGAATCACAATCATTATTAATTTAACGCATTAACAAATCAGAATCTATAATTGAATATGTAGCTCATCAGATCGCGTCCCCGGGGTTCGTGCGGATGACAAGCTGGCTAGGACAAGCTTTTGGTGTATTGTTTTTTTCACCGTCTATGTTACGTAATCCCAAAGACTGAAATCCAACTGTTAAGGCGCAAGTAAGTAGCGTGAAATATGCCTAAGTGGTGGATGATTCTTTTACCATCAAAGGCCTAAAACATTATATGGCTTTATAGCTATGTTTGGCTACAAAACAGCCAAAGGATTGCGACAGGCACTGATGTGTGGGCACTCTTCAAGTAAATCTCAAACAGCA